GAAACGCGAGAAAAATAGTCCTAAATCCAGTTGAAGCTGTTGACGTGACAAAATATCGATTCGACATGATCACTATTTGCGTGGGGAACACGAAACGCGTACGGTTTATAGTTGGCTTTTTTAACAATTTTCTCTTTGAGTTTTTGGCTTATATGTATCACACAGATATTTTTTACTTATTTGAAATGAAAATAAAAGACATATGTATTCAAAATACGAAACATTGAGAACACAATAACGCACTGACTTAATCCAACGCTTCTTAAATTTAGTTTTGTTATGAAAATCGGTGTGAAAACTTTTCAAAACATTCAAGTAGAGTTTGACTTTTCGTATAAAACAACTCGTAACTGTCTGCATTATAATTTTATTGGATTCAGCAGATAAAAAACTACATGTGAACTGAGTTGAATGACAGGGTTTACGTAAGTTTCAGTGACAGTTCAGGAGTGCCTTCAAGACAGTATAAAATATAATTTCAGTCCGTGACACTGTTGTTGAACATTGTGAGCATTATGAAATACAGTACTGAACGTATTAAATATATAAAAAAAACACACTGAATATAGGTAAAAACTAGCTAACAACATACGTACTGTTCGAATGTTGAAAAGTTTAGGATTATAATAAAAAACTGGCGTTTTCTTTGTAGATAAAAATACAAAAACAACTTCCCGCGGCTTGTTTACTTGTTTCAAGATTTTTACCGGGCCACGACGATTCCACGCGCGAGTCGCGAGGATAACGTCTGAGCTATATAAATATTATAAACTGGACTATAACTGTAGGGAGCCACCTTAAGGCTAAACCAAATTTTTCACTTACATTGTGCATTAAAAAGAGCGTGTAACGACTGTTTCAAATGGATTTTAAGTATTTTTTTATCAACGTGGATTATGTTGCAGTTCAATAGATAACTGAAGTAAACACCTGACTACCAAACCGTGCAGGTATTTTTTGGCAGTGGGCATCCAAATGCTTTGCTAAATTCAGGAAAGTTGGACAATGGAACTTGTACTCTGAAAGTTAATGGAAAAGTATAAAATTTCAACAAATGGCATGTTATATATTACCGTGCTATCGATTGGCTACAAGTGAAGGTACAGTACGCATATATGAACTCAGACTTTCGGGTCAATTCCAACTATTTCTTATCCTTACAATCCAAATCCTAAGTTTAAACTTTATTCTAACACTAACGCATATTCTAGTCTCATACCACAGACAGCCCACCAATATACTCTTATTATATGTAAGTATATATAGATGTATATCATGCATAATAAAAGTGACGGTTATACAGAAAGGTGCAAAGGCAATTTTGAATTGGACTTTCTAAAATGGCAGATAACCCCTTGTGGAAAATGCACATATCATTTCACATATGAAATTTTATTTCTGAAACTCATAGTAATAATTCACGAGAAAACGCAAAAGAAACCATGAGCGTGCAAGGAGTTTGTGTATCGGATACAGAATCATCCTTTACACATAAACTTTAAGTTCAATTTTCTCACCAAATATCAAATTCATTTATTTCAAATTGTTGAAAAATACGAATGTTCTCATCAAGACGTTTCACAAGTCATTCTTCGGCTCGAGTTTGTATATCCGATACAACACGGCCGCTCATGCAAATTGGATCCAGTCAGTACATTTACAAACAAAATTTCAATTAAAAACCCGTTTATTCATGAAATTTAGTACTTTCAAACCCGTTTCCCGTCTAAAACTATTTATTAAGTTTGAAATTTGTGATATTTTCCTTGTTCCAAGCGATGGCGGGTGTTAATAAGGATTCCTGGTTAAATTAGCCAGGACTATGATAAGTGGTGGTTAAATTAACCAGAAAATTTAACCAGGAACATTGTTTAAGTTACCCCAAACAGGGTTAATTTTAGATTAACCAGGAGTAGCTAGTATTACCCCGTACATCCAGCGACGGAAGTAATTAGTATTCAGGTGGAGAGAGATGTGCGAGCGTATGTGCGAGTGTGTGTGCGAGTGGGTGTTCAAGCGGGGTATGTGCGAGCGAAAAAAGACAAACTATTACTAATGATGTATCAGTTATATGCACCTAATTATATTTTCGGTACTTTGATATATTTTAAAAATATCTGAAGTGACTGTCGTTTTGCTATGTGCAATCAGCAAATAGACTGATAATATTGTCTGTTAGTCTTACTAAATACAAGATGAAGTAGTGAAGTAGCTATGTATATCATTCACTCGTCCACAAAATATCCCAAATAATGAATAAATACAGATAAATAATTGCGTCAGTAAATTCTCTAAATTGTTCCTGTATTTAACTATTATAAATAAAATGTTAAAACGGAGCTTTGATTGACTGATTCACCATTTATACTAGTGAACTATTAAACTATCGTGATTTACACGATTTTTGCATATTGACCAGACGATGCCCTATTCACCAACCCGAGGTTAACGCCGAGCGGGCGTCTTGTTTATACTTTAAGCCGGAGGCAATTGCAGCAAGTAATTTGTCCGCACTGTAGGGTGAACTCGGACGATAGCTGCGAGAGCATGAGGTGAAGGTGAGGTTGATGCATTCGCTGTTCTCATTAGCTATTCATCAGCATTTGGTTCTCATTAGCTCTTCAAAAGGGCGAAAAAGGGGGTAACACGAATACGAAAATGTATACTTTTTAAAGCAAAATATTGTTGCTAGGACACTACTTTGCTTGGATGCATACATAAATTAACACACAGGTACGAATTAACGTTTTAAACCATTTATATCTAAAGTATAGCTATTTTACATAGGGCTTCCCTTGGGGTTCCCTCGGGGTTTCCGTGGGGGTTCCCTCGGGGTATGCGTTTTCGCATTTTGCTCATGCGTCTTCGCATTTTACTTAGCATTCTTTGCATTAAGCCCGTTTAAACCTGAACAACTACATATAGATTTTGTCAGATTTTCAAAATCATGTCGGGTAGAATTTTGGAATTTTGGGCGATGAGCAGATGAACATGTGCTCATGGGCATTATGAGCAGGTGCTCATCTGCTCATAAGGCCCGTTTAAACCCATAGATTTTGTTACAATTTCAAAATCATGTCGGGTATAATTTTGTGCGATGAGCAGATGAACATATGCTAATAACAACCTCGTTCCCAGGGTCTTATCCTGGGAACGAGGTTGATGCTCATATAACTGTTCATGAGAACATGCTCATCTGCTCATAAAACTGCAGTGCTGCTCAATAACAAGGCAATTCTGCACAGTCAGTGCTAACGGAAAGAGCTGTCAATTTAGCGGAAGGCAATTTAGCCGTGGTTACAATTTACGTAGACACGAAAAAGAGTATTTGTCCAATACGAGAACAAGAAAGAAACGTGTCTCAAACAGACTCGGATAGCCAGGAAATGGATTTCCATGACGACGCCTCAAAAAACTTCAACTCATGGGTCTGCATGAAATTTTGACTGATAATGAGTCAGAAACTGAAGAAGAAATGGTCTCTTGGATACCGTTGATAGAAGAAGCAAAGCAAAGAAGTAATATAGCATTTGAGGAAATAAAAGAAAGCCTTATCAACAGTGGTCTAAATGAACAATCCGCTAAGGACAAAACTTACTCTAATATTCTGCCTAAACTCCAGAAGGAACTGGAAAATATTTATATGGAGCCGTCAGGGACGCCGGAACTATAATAGGGCAAAGGGGGGCGGACGCACACCAAGAGCACCTTTACTGAAAAATATCTTTTCACTGCAAAATTTTTTGGCGACCTCCCCCCCCCACCACCCCGTCGCCAAAACAATTTCGGTCAGTGTACCATTTTAGGGGTCAAAAAATTTTTCCGGACATACAAAAATTTTCGTGAAGCCAAAAATTTTTCCGGATATCTTAAATTTTCGCCATTTCTTCAAAATATTTTTCTAAATTCCAAAAATTTCCCAAAATTTTTATAAATATAAACTATAAATTACCTGAATCTCGTGATTTTCCTACAAAAAGCAT